ATGAAACGTTTCATTAAAGAAGAACCCGTCCAGAGGACCTATACTATTTTTTTTTTCCTCTGAGACATATACTTTAAGCTGCAGAAGAAGTAACAAAAAGTACAGTTACAAGCCAAGCRCAGCATTAACACACTTAGCACCTTTGATCCAGTTGATCACAGCATCCTTTTATCCAGACTTGAACATGTTGTTGGTCTTGAAGGCTCAGTTTTAACATGGTTCAGGTCATATTGGGCTGACAGGTCTTTGTCCGTTTCTATGGGGGAATACTCTTCTTCATCTACTCTGATTTGCTGTGGTGTACCTCAAGGTTCTATTTTAGGACCTATTCTTTTTTGTTTGTACATGCTGTACACCCAGTTATTTATTGGCCCTGTTGCACTTTTATACCCCAAACAGAGAACTGAGATCWTCTCATCAGATGCTTTCAGTGCAGCCGAAGGTAAAACTGAAGGGTTGAGGGGAACGGGCTTTTGYTGTGGCGGTCCCCAGACTCTGGAACAACTTGAGACCCGTACTGCAGAGTCTGTTCAGTCTTTTAAATCTGACTTAAAAACTCACTTTTTACACTGGCTTTTAACTCAAGTTCAGTTTGAGCTACCTCAGGAATTTGTAATTTGTGTCTTTTTATTTGTTTTTAGCTTATTGTATGTTTTATTGTATTGTGTTTGTGAAGCACTTTGGTGAACACTGTTCTTTTTAAATGTGCTACAGTATATAAATAAAATGATGATGATTTCTGGTACCTGATTTGTACACATTCAGTTTGAAAATACAAGTAAATAAAAGTAAAGGGCACCATAAATGCATTATTTGTTTTCTCTCTTGCCTAACGTGACTTTTAGAATGCAGGATTATAAAAGCTCAAACTATTTTCTAAACTGGACTTTCAATGGAAGCAGCAGGTCAATAAGAGACACCCCATAGCTGAGACAGGAGCTCAACTCAAACTAAATGAGTGACTGTGTGAATGTCTGTGTGCTTTTTTATTTTCATACAATTTTTTCACCATTAATAATGTAAAAATAACCACAAAATGTTAAAATAACCAAACACTGCTTTGGTTAACCCCATGTGTATCCAAATATCTGCATATCTGGGATATATGCAGATATATCAATCAAAGCACCTTACATTCAGATTCCTATTTCCACTATCAATTCATTCAAAGCAAAAMTACAAAAACAGCTTTATCAGTGTGCATTGCCAATGCAATGCACACTATTGTGATTCATTTCCCATCCAAGTCATCTCAACTTTGCCATGCTTCTCCTCCTGCATACTTTGTCCTAGAGCTGCCATTGTAATTTATATCTGTAAAGCTCCTGTGCCAAATGATGGCTATGCCTTTTGGTGCCTCTACAACTTATAGTTTATAAAATATTAATGTTTAATGAATTATAATGGCAGTCAATGGAGCCTTGTATTGGTCCAACACTGCCCCCTGCTGTACTCAACTTGGTACTGCACCAAAGTTTAATAATTCAACTCAGTAGTTCAGTGTTTACAATACTAATATGATTGTATTTTGATGTTTTACTATAATATTGTCTTAATCCTGCTCTATTGTTGTAATATTATGCATTTTTGTGTCAATAATTGTATTGGCAATGTGGCCTCTTTCTGCACACATACAAACCAACCCCTGCCACCATTTCTTCCACAGCTCCATTGGTCTAATGGTCTATGTCATGGACTTTCATGTGGGAGATCAGGGTTCAAAACCCAGCTAATGCAACTTTAACAACAAATCTCTTCAAACTTCATATTGTMACACAATTACCTTAATTACAAACACCTGCTGACGTGACAGACACAAGCTGGTATAGAAAACACATTTGAACTTGGTCAAAGTTCATTCTGAAAGTACAATGCTGCAATGACATGCTACATGGCAATGCACACTTGTTTTTACATCATAAAAACCCATGTCTAGTAGTGATTAAATTTGATAAAGAGTATCATCTACCTCTCCATGAATAAAAAGAGACATGAAACAAACATTTGCTTTGGTTGTACCAACTTGGGAAATACAAATCTGTGAAAATCTGCCCAATCATACGACCTGCTTTCTTTTTTCTCCTTAATTACAAGCAGATACAACAGATACAATTAGGAGATACAAACAAACAAACTCTAAAAAAAAGGCTATAAATTCACAGCTCATACTAACCAAGTTGCTCTGTGGGCTGTCTTCATGTCCAGACTTTCTGTCATCAGCTTCAATGKTTCTGTTCAAGTCATCTTCACCATAAACCACCAGACCTCCTCCTCCTCCTCCACTCTCTGTACGGTGACAGATAAAACCTTTAGAAATTACCTCAAAATCATCAGTCATTTCATTTTTAATCAACTGTCATCAAAATATCCAAACTTCTAGTCAAGGTTATGATTTCACTAAACACTTGAAAATAAGTCCACATCAGTTTAACCACGGTAATATTATTAAATGAATTCATAAGCAGCTGTGCTTTAAAACAAAGTTTTCCGTCCGTAAACACTGCTAGGTTAGCTGAAGCTAACGTTAGCTTCGACACGAAGTCAGCCCAAACATTAGCTTCTCCCAGCTTTCACAATGGGACCAGTTAAATGATGTAAGAATGACCAGAACACACCACTGTCTTCAGGTTCTGGSTCAGAGTCGGGTTCTGAATCGTCTCCATAGTCTGCTAAAGACGACAGCAGTGCACTCTTTTTACCGCTCGCCATGTTTGTTCGTCGCATAAACGCTGCGTCACAAACTCTGCGCAGTAAGAGTGCGCAATGACACCTGGGAGTTGTAGTCTTTTTATAGATGCTACTACAAGGTGGTCTCAACGCAAGAACGCAAATAAATAGACCAATAATGGTAAATAATGTAAAACATTAATCAACTGTGCTTTTTAACAAAACACAACACTGAACATAATGTGTAAAATAACTGATTAAAGATAAAATCAGGCACTGCTGAGATCACATTTAACCCTAAACTAAACTCTATTAAAAACGTGGCCCTGACAAATAAACGGGTGTTTCCCTTGTGATGCAAAAAGTCCCCACAAGGGTCAAACATCCTCACAGGGGTAACTAATTTTAAT